ATCCATCTGATGTTACAAAAGCAGAAGAACTTTGCAGTAAAATTGCTGAAGGAGATTCATTTACCTGCCCTGTACATAAATGTTTTGAATGTAAGCAAGTTGAAGATAAAAAGGTCTATGAATTGCAGTTTGCAATTTGCAGACGTTGCCCAAAGGCATACCACCGTAAATGCTTGCCCAGGTTTCCAAATTTAATTTTCCTATTTGAGGTTTCCATTAATGCTGTTTGTGAATTTGCCCAGAAGACTTCAGTTTCAGATAATGGTAACTTTTTCTTTATGCAAATATTCTTGTCAGGACTATAATGTTTGAAAGTGACAAAGAAAGAAAGATTTATCAACGGGCTTGGGAAAATCTTTTGCACAATCGTGTCTTGATTTATTGCATGTAAGTTTCTTTGAACTTACTGCTTGAGTTTTTGCTCATTTAGTGATTCACTTGTAAACTGCCAAGCACTTCTTTGTCTAGGGACCATAATATAATTCCTAAAATTGGAACTCCAAAAAGAAACCATCTAGTCTTTCCTGATGTTGATACAAAGAAGCCGCAGCATACTTCAGGGTCGCTACCTGCTCAAGTGCAGGTTGTGTCTGGAAGGAGAAGTAAGGTTCTTGGGTCTCTTGAAGAAAAACCTGTAGCAAAAATGAATTATCAGTTAAAGGGAATTCATAGCAACTTTAAAGTTGGTAAATTTGTTGAAAATGTTGAGAAAGGAGTTCGCAAACAAGTCCTGGTAGGAAAAATTGGATCCTCTCCAAACTCTTCCAAGGATAATTGGATGCCCGTCAGGGACAAATACAGGCATTTCATAGCGGATAAAGGTAAGTCACATGTAAAAGATGATCAGTTGAAGTTTAAGAATGTATCGAGTGGCAATATTGACAGCAGGCAAACAGCGACAACTGCTACAAACAAGGCACAAAGGATTGAGCCGTCAGGAAATGCAGAAGCAGAAAAGAGGTAATTGTCTTGGTCTTCTTTTTGCCTATTATAGAAGCTGCAATCTTAATGCCTTTCCTTTCTTTCAGCATGAAAAGAGTATTCTATTGCATTATACCTCTTTATGAAATTTATTAGTTTAAGTACAACTTACCACTTTGCAGAGTACTTGCATTAATCAAAAGGTCCACTGCATCATTTAATCAAGAAGAATTTTTAAAGCAGAAAAAAAACAAAAGCATGGATGTATACTCAAAATCCATGGATGACAAGAGCATGACCATGGGAAAGGTAGAGCGCGCTGTGAAGGTACTGTCTTAGCTTACATCTATTGCTGACAACTATAATTTAATAAGAAACTGGATTGAAGGCCTTGTTTCCTCAACTGATAATCCTTCTCAGGCTGTTCGCACTGCATTGAAGAAACTAGAAGATGGGGGCACCATAGAGGAAGCAAAAGCAGTCTGTGAACCGGAAATTCTTCATCAGTTAGTCAAATGGAGGGTATGTACTTGAAAATTTAAAGTCTAAATATGTACCAGGGAAGCAATTTTTTATCAGCAGACCCATTTCCTTAAGAAACTTTATACATCACTGAATATAACAAGTTCATTATAATGGCTTACCTTGATGTTTTTACTAGCTTCATTCTGAGCAAAAACTGTAGAAGTGTTTCAGAAGATAATGGATTGAAAATGACAAAATAAACTGGAGGGTGTCTAAAAAAATAAGGAATGATTCCTTGGGATCATGTTTGACATCAAAGCTCTGTGAGCTGAATATTCTTTTGGTAAAATCAGCTTATAACAAGCTCATCATATCCTGTTATAGGCAGGTTGACATTAGATTGGCCACAAATTGGAATGACTTATCTATGAATTAATTAAACTCTAAGATCCAAGACATATACGTAGACCCTTACTTGAACTAAGTTTCTAGTAGTCAAATTGTGACGTATTCTCAGGCTTTATAGTTAAATAATTTGGCCCCCATAGACACTCTAGTGAGGTTTCAGCACTCTGCATCATTCTCCCTTGGTCAAACTTGATCTTGAGCTTTTCAACATGAGATTTAAGCACTCTTTTGAGTGATTCTTGTGGCTGAATAACAGGGCAGGACAGCTAGCTGATTTGACTTGTCTTCAAATCGAATGAGTTATTGACTTCTAACCTTTCAAAATAGTTGCTGGAATTGCTAAATCAATTTCTGCAGTAACAAAGCATATCTGTCCTTTTCAAGTTATCTTAAATGTATTTAAGATCCTCTGCTTCTCAATACTTTACCTACCTGCACTACATTTACTTTCAGCTTTATTTTTCCTGCCAGATAAGCTTATCTAGAACTCTCTGTGTGTGTGTAGTGTTTTTCTTTTTCTTAGTTTTTATCCTCATAGTCTCGACATTATATCTCTGTTGTGAAGTGGGCTTAAATATCCTGTGATTTTAGCTCTGCTTTAAGCTAAAAGCTGTTATAAATATAAGGTGTTCTCAACTGGAAAAAAGCTGATTCTGAATCCCAGCCAGTACAGTGCGCATGAGAAAGCTTTTGACTTTTTCAAAACATTTGAGACAAGTAAATATTATAATTTTGTCCATCAAGTTTTTAAGGAGGAGAAGCTGTGAAGAAAAATCCCTTTGTTGGAGAACAATCATTCTCAAGTCCATTAGTTGACATCTTCTAGTTAAGAGTTTTCCTTTGAGAATCTTTTGGTGTCTCAAAATAGACGAACTCATCAGGTAGCAGCTTCAAAGTGATATTGCATGCAATATTTTGGATTTTGCTGCAAATTGTCCTTGATCTCTCAAACCAGCTTTTACCGGGAAATTTCAACAACTTGACCATTAAAAAAGAGCCCACCGGACTCAGGAATCAAGTAAAATACCTTCTTTTTTTCCCCTCTCTCTTAATTGGCTTAAATCCTTTTGTTCTAGGATCATTGCATCTCTCTCCTTCAGAGAACATGGTGGTCAAACTTTAAGTTCTAGTGCCAATATTCGTGCAGCAGGTTATGCATGTTGAGAGTGGCATTTGAATTCAATAATTGCAAGAACAAGAAGTAGAGGAGCAGGAAACAAGGAATTCTAGTTCTACTTATGATTCACTAGCAGTAGCCTGGTAGCAACAAAGGATATCTGAGAATATAGTTACTCAAATCTGCAAAAGGTTAATACTACGAAATCATTGTAGAAGAAATCATTGTAGAATAAATATGTCATGCCCTGTTGCTGAAGATGGCATACTATAGATTTCTTGGCAATAGATTAAACTACCTAAGCAAGACTACTTATGGTTCGATGCAATATAGTTAACTTCAGTTAGATTTATAGAGTTTAGACCCAATCCACATTGGAATAATGTTTCAATATCCTGCAATCAATGTAGCCTCAGTCAAATCATCAAAGTTCCATTTTTACATGTACCAATTCACACACAAGACCTGCGGAAATTTTAATTGCAAGTCCTGATGGTTCAAAGTTCACAATTTCAATATTAACCTAATGTCAATTCTATTTATTCTTCCACTTGATGACTTAAGTTCATAATGACTTAAGTTCACCACTCTTAAGTTTTACCAAGTAGTTGATATGATCTTTGGAACACTCGTATGTAGTACTTGTGAAGTATCTTTTACATTCTTTAGTTATTTTGCCTTCATAATGCAGTTACCCATATGCTAACCTTTTGGGTTTAAGCAAAATTTTCCTTGTACCATGAATGTGATCCCTTATGGTCAGGAAATGACGTACAATGGGCCAATTGTTGCCACTGACCCTGTTGGAGCCTTTTACATAGATAATATGAGACCCTGAATGTTTTTGTGTAGCTTGCGCCCACTGCCTAATCCTCAAGACTAAATTTGGGAGTTGGAGATTTGAGAAGAAAAGAAAAGACAGTGAGAGAAAGTTAAAGTTTCAACTGCTTGGGAGTTTCTTAAAGAGAAACAAACTGATTTGGGAGGATCTGTAGTTGTTGTACAATTAGAAAGAATTTTCCATCAAAATTGGGAAGAGAAGAGGAGAGAGTTGCTGGAAACTAATAAATCTTTTTAAAATCGTGATTTTATCCTTAAATTTGATGTGATACAAATTTTTATTTGACTTATATATCTAATGCCATTCCACTTCTTTCCTTGACTCCCAAACAATATTAGAATTTCTCCCTTGTTTTCTCTCATAATTTAAGGTTTCTATTCTCTTCTCCTCTCTCCTAAACTCCCAAACTAGGCCTAAATATGATTATATGCATAGACACAGCATAAATTGTTCACCAAATTTTTTGCAGCAATTCATTTTAAATCTTTGCCTTTTCTATATAGCCTCATTTACCTCATTTACATTGTATAAGTGTTCCTACTGCTGACTTTAAATACTTGATCCAACATAGCATTTCAATAAAGTTTTATCTTCCAGAGGAAAACTCGGTTCTTAGTTGCCACACAATATAGTATTCTTATTTCGGCTTGACAGCTTGGGATCCTTTATTTCTTAACTTAAGATTTGTCCTTTCCAAGAAGAGGGGTGGGGAGAAGGAAGGCGAGAAGAGAGAAAACTACTAGTACATTAAAATATTGTACTACTACAACATATTAGTTTAGCACCCAGTGGAAAGACCTTGTGGCCATGCCACTGTTCACAACTGAAAGACTTATAAATTTGACTTTCCTTTGTTTTTTTGTATGGAAATAGGAACTAAACATTTTACTCGAGGAACAAGGCTATAGTTCTTGAAAGACCATTATGATCATCATCTGCAACTTAAGCATCTTCCAATTTGCTGTATGCAGAGTTTGAAGGGGGAAATTTCTTTCTGCTTCATTTGGCCATTATTAACATCAGAGCAATTTATTGATATTTAGATTCATACTTAGTATCCCTTGGTTTTTGGGAATTGTAAGTGCTTTATTGAAACATTATGATTTACCAAGATAATTGCAAGTAGTTTTGGTCAGGAAAACTACATCATGTTTGTCCTATTCTCAAACATTTGTTCACGTGCTGACAAGTTGATTTGGAACATTATCAGGTGAACCATTGGGAACATTAACAGTGTCAAGGCTTTTATTCAGGCAGTTCATAAGCCATTGATGGAACACAATATGCAAAGAGTCCATTAGCCAATGACTGCAGCTTCAATTCTGCACAATTAGGTTGTTGAGTTCACAGACTACAGTGACAAATGATTTATCTCAGAAGGACTCCTAGGCTCTTAATCCATTTTAAGGCCGTGATTCTGCTTTTTTGTTTGCTCTACATAATTGATAAGATATTGCCAAGAGAGAACCAAAAGAAACTTACAAATGTCCTTATTGAGGGCCAGGTAGAAAAAAATTATGTGTCAGGCTTCATATTGCCGTCCTTCAAAAAATTTCCTTGTGCCCCTGGATGGTGTAATTTTATCCTACACATGTGGGATAACACGTTCTAGTGGGACTAGTCATCCCTTGTGAGAGATTCCATCAGAAAAGGGATAATACTGGATTAATCAAGCCGTCGATTGTTGCCTGCAAAGTAAACAAACAGTAACAGAAAGTTGAGCTGAAGACGGCACTTTTTTATTGCTGAAAACAATTAAGTGAAAATCATAGAGCAAAGGGTTGAGAACATTTGAGTGCTTATGTTGGAACTTATATGCTTTTGTTCATGTTTTATGGGTAAATATATGAGATTGAGATGGTAAATAATTTCACATGCCAGTCATAATTTTCCAGTTGTAGAAGTCACATTGTAATTTTCAAATTTTGGTATACTCAACTACATACCATTCAGGTTGAGTGACATGTTTGAGTGATGATATACTCCTATAAGATTATGAGAAACTCTTCAATATTCCTTCATGATTTGTAATTTCTTGCATAGTTTCACAGCTATTTGACTAAGAGGTAAAAACACTAAATGCATGTTTTGTTCAAATTATGCAGCGGAAGCTGAAGGTTTCTCTAGCTCCTTTTCTCCATTCTAAGCGCTACACTTCATTTGGTCGTCACTTCACCAAAGTGGATAAGCTCAAGGAGGCAAGATAAATTTTGTCCCTTTGTATTAGGACATCTTTGTCGCTTACTCTTGAAATGCAATGACAATTAGGACGCCTTTCTAACTCTGACTTGAGGCTTTTGAAGTTCTTTCCTGAATGACGAGTGGATAGGACATAGAAAAGTTAATCAGATGCATGTCTTAGAATTGTGATGTGTGAGAGAAGATTGTTTTATTTGTCTGATTATTGCATGTACTCGTTCATATTCTGTACTTGTAATCAGAAACTTCACACTTATGAAAACTATGAAAATGAGAAGAAAGTATAAGCTTACTAGCCGAATTTAGAAATTAAAAAGGCCTCAATGTTGTTGGAGAAAAATGTTTGGGCTTTATTATAGTAGTTCTCTTCTTAACTTAGAATATTTTGAAAGACCAATTACATTTCACTGATGAGGTTTGGTCATATTATAAGTTAGACCCTGAAGTTTAGGTAAATCAAATTTATCTCTTAGAAAATAGTTAGAATAGAATTCTCATGACTGTACTGTTTAATCATTTGACATGAAATTGTCAAAACTTGTTGGAAAGTAATCATATTCTCAATTGATTAAGAAAAGGAAGTAATTATGAGATGAAAAGCCAAAAAATTGTACGAGAAAAAGTCTATCCCCTTCCCCACCAAGCTTCCTCATGTGCCACACATTGCACAGCTTCATTCATCTTTCCCTACCTCAATCTTGTTTCCTTTCCCTACCCCAGGATGTGCCATATATCTCTCTCCAACTACCCACCTCCGCTTTTTCTTCCCTTCTACTCCTTGTTCTCCTCGATATACACAGCCATGAAAGCTGGCCAACAGAAACACATGATGCACAATCAAAAGATACATTATACATACACCACATCCCCAGAATGTGAAAAAAAGGAAACAAGAAACAAAAGAAATAGAAAAGAGATGAACAGCAATGGACATAGACCATGTATGAATAATTAATATGATATACAGGCAGAGAACTTTATTGTCCTTGTCTTTTGTGTTGTACGTTTGTACTGTTAGGCAGTTTGCCTTGGAGTGATGATTGTAGGTACTGGTAGGTGTTGTCAAAGTGATGGCTTTAGTAATTATGGTGGATCTATTTAGATGTGGAATTTGAAATATTGGTGGACGGAAAAGGTACTTGGGATACTTAAATGTTATGTGAAGAGCAATAATGTCCTTTAAAGTACTGTATGGGCATTTCAGGGAGATTTATTTAAGCATGTTGTTATTGTCGTAATTCGTACATGACTGATGCGGACTTAAAATTTTAGGCCTTTAACTGCTTTGGCTATGTCATTGCAAAAGGCCTGTTAGTAGTTTGTCTAAACTTGAGCATTTATCTTGTCATTTTGTCTGAATCTAAGGCAAAAATAAATTTAACTCTTTGTGAAAGGATTATGCCAGTACCACTCTTGGAACTCTGGACTTTCAATGCCTAAGCTCAGTGTTTACATTTTGGCACAATTTTCCAATGGTGTCATTGGGTAGCTTTCTTCATTCACATCTCTGTTCTTGAGATCAACCTGCAAATAGTTAAAGAATTTTTTGTTCATGTTATAACAAAAATTACTGCATATTTCAAAGCAACTTATCATTTTACTTTAAGAACTCAGTTTGATATGATACAGCAAGGGTACTTTTATGGGATACTTGTTGGAAACAGCAACTTTGAAGAAGGGTGAGAGGAAGAACTCATGTTGGCCAAGTTTTGCACCTCTGGATATTATAATGCCACAAATATTATTACCCATAGAGAGAACGATTAACTTGGGACTTTTGGATGGTCATCTTACATTGCCGTTTTATTAATCTTCTCTTACTTATTGGGTATTTGTGTAGTGGAAAGGGTTTCCTTCATCGGGATTTTGGGACAGCAAGCACAGCATGATGTGCTTCTATCCTATCATGTTTTGACTTGGATGTTGCATTCTAATTGCTGTAAGCAATGCTTACTTTATTGGATTTCATACTGTTGATTGTTAAGGTTCAGCATAATTAATACTTTTTCCAGATGTTTCATTTACAGCAGCCATGCTTTTTGGACGTTCTATTATTTGAGATCTTAACTAGAGACCTACGAGTATAATTCATCTTTCTGGAAAAGGAAAACAAAAGCCGCAGTATGATTGTTTATGTGTTTGTGCATACATGAAAGTACTCCACATTTTTTGCATCGTCGTTTGTTTTTGCATTTTAATATTTTCTTACAATTAGCAGTATAATGAACCATTCTTGCTCCCATCAACTTATCAATTTTCTGTTTTTATGGAATAGTTAGTTATATGTGCTCTTTGCTTTTGTTTGAACATAAATACCTGCTGATAAAATGCTCAATTTTCCAGGTAGTTGACAGGCTCCGGTGGTACGTTGAAGATGGTGATACAGTAAGATCAAACTGATCTCATATTTATCATCTACTTTGATTTTGCGTATATAGTGGGCGGAACTGTAGGTAGTGCAGAAATGATTTTACTCCTTTACATGAAAGAATTAGGTAGTGCAGAAATGATTATGTTGTTCTGCATGGCCAAAGTTCTCTGTTTCAGCAATTTTGTCTTTGGTGTAGACTTAATCCTCTGGTTTTATTAAACATAACCTATATCCTAGGCACCATTACTAAATAGACATGCTAAGTTTGATTGCTTTTAGCCATTTGCACTATGGAATGATTGCATTGGAAACAAGAAGCAAAATGTGCATTTGCATGGTCTTCTTAAATGTTGTTTATCTGGGTGATGTATGAAGCATAAATCTGTAGATATCCATTTTCTGTGGAAACATGCCAAATTCATCTACCATAAAATGTTTAAGAAACTATTGAACTTTTGCCATGCTGGATATCATTTCACCATTTTAGCTTGGCATCATACTCTGAGACATCATGGGCTGCGATTGTGGCAACTGAAAATGAGGTCTTTGATTATTTTTGTCCGTTGATGTGTAGAAGATTTATGCATCTGTATAATATAAATGTAGAGAAGCTTTTCGTTATAATACATCTGCCTTCACATCTAAAATATCACCATTTTCTGCACATTCCTAATCCTCGTGTTTTGATGTGCTTGGCACTCTTCAAGTTTTAAATTTCTGACCATTTACTGAAATTCGCTACATATCCACACAATGAAGTAGATTTGTCTGACTGATGGAAGAATTCAGGATCAAAATGGAAGTTTTCAACTATGTGCTTTCTGGTTTTATGAAACATGTACTTTCTTGAGTTAAATAGTATAGTGAGTTAGATGATATGTACAACAGGAAGAACTTATTTTGGCTGTCACGGTTTTCTTTGAAATGATTGGTTTAATCTTCATTGAGATTGCCTTGACAATCTGCAATTGGAGAGATTGCCTTGTTAAATTATTAAACTGCTGGGGGAGTCTTTTGTATCCTTGGCATCTTAGTATTATGGTTGTTCATGTTCTTTTGATTTCATATCTGATTAAATTAACGCTGTTGAGCAGATAGTCGACTTCTGTTGTGGCTCAAATGATTTCAGTTGTTTAATGAAAGAAGCTCTGGACAAATTGGGCAGGAAGTGCTCCTTCAAAAACTATGATATTATACAACCCAAGGTGCAGTTTTCATCATATGTTCTTGGCATTGCATTCTGAGACATGTAGCTTGAGGCACTTTTTGCTCACACAATCTAGATGCAAATTCTCGATTTTGCTTCGCATAATGACAGCTTGCCTTAGTCGAAGACTAAGGACCTTTGAATTATGTTCGTGACTGCATCTAGTTTTATTCCTTGTGTTGTTCTGTGTCAAAAACCAAACAAATCTTTATCTATGTTAATTTGATTTTACCATTTGCTTTTGATGTGAGTTAATAAGTAAACTCTCTACCATAAGTATCTTTATTTAGCTTAATCATTATGAGAATAGCTTATTGTGCATTTAATGCTTCATTGACGTCAACCTGCCACATATTCTAACCCTGTTTATCATGGTTTGCAAAATAAAAACAGTTCAAAATCTTCTGCCGAACATTTTCCGAACATTTTCTAAGAGATCTAAAGGAAAATAGCCTCTGGGTAAGTATAATAACCACTGAGTATGGTACAGAAAGTAGGAAATCATAGAAGGTGTAATAGATATTCTTCTGAACCTCGTTTAAAAGAAAATAAAACTAGTTATGACATGAAACAGAAATGAACACAAAAGCTTGCAACTTCTCATAGGCCAAGAGAACTGGGCCATCTAAAGGTAGTAGTGATCTTGGTGGCCCAAGTACAAAGTACATACAGGTTCAAAATTGCCTTTCCAAGTTAGATTAATGATTTTTAGCTTTAGCTTCTACTAGCTTGGTCCAGCATTTGTTTAGGATTTTAAAAGATCAAATTATTTCAGACCAAGCGATGTTCAGTAATGGGGGATCTTTGCATATCCATACAGGATAATCTATTACTGCAGTAAGTGCTGCTTAGAGATATATTTGAGCAAGTAGATTTTGCAAAGAAAGTTAGGGTAGACATACCTGATCTTAGCAAAAAGCCATGGTTGAGCTGTTGTTGATTGGCTTGAAATATTTGAAGAATACTTTCAGGTATGACTTCCAACAGATCGGGTGAAACTAGTTGATATATTAAAAGTTGAGCATTGAAGTTCTGAAAGAAGGTTTAGGGAAAAAAAGGTGAATGACTTGTGTCTTTGGGAGAAACAGAAAGATGCATCTTATTGAAAGTTTCTTTTTCAATTTTTTTTCCAAGACAGTTTAAGGTTTATTTGTCTTAGCAGTTAAAATCCCTTGGTTCTTTTTACTCTAGTCCTTGTTCTTGCCATTGTCAAACTTAGAGTTTCCTCGACTGACAAACCCCTGTATTATGATTCATGATTCTTGGTGAAGGATGCTTGTGATCAGTTTATGCTCTAAACCAGGTAATCACTTCTGAATATGTGCTTGATGGGTAGTTATATGTGATACAAATAGGAATCACAATGTTGATCTGACAATCTGTCAGATCTGTTACAATCATCCAAGATTCAATGCATTAGAGATGCAGTTCATTGCTCTTTGGTGTAAAGTAGGTTCAGAGGGATTCAAAAGGTATCCTTTCCATGGGTCGAACAATCACAGACGATTAACACTTCTTTCAATAAACAAGTCAATTGCTTAAGATGGTGGGTTTTGAATAAGAATGCTTTGTTTATTTTATAAAGGTCAGTGCTAGTGAGGCATGTCTCCTATTGACCAATGTCATTGCTGGGTTTGCTCTTTTTTCTTCGTGCTGCTTGGAAAGCAATATAAATATTTTCTGGAAGGTATTGAATAGAACAAGGTTGTCGGGCAAAATACCAATATTCCTGTGCAAGCTGCTTTTAATTCCATGGTAAGTTTGTGTAAACTTTAAAAAAGAAAAGGAAATAAACAAAACTCTGCTTTTCTTTATTTTCCCACACACCGAATATGCTTACAAGGTACGCATTTATAGGACAACCCTATCACAGTTCTGCCACAAGTTAAGGTAATAGAACCATGATTTTAGGGATTACGTAACCAACTCATATCCTATATTTTATTTTAGTTAATCTATTCAAACTTGATTGATCATAAGCAATAAAATCCCATAATCATGGGAGATAATATCTTCGGCAGTTTGGATTGTTGCTTCAGGTGTCTTGTACATTAGGTTAGATCCGGCATATACATCTCCATTTTTTTGTTCAAAGACAGGCATTAGAATCCATGCTGAGGATAAAATCTTTAATTGAAGAAGAATCAGTAGCCAGGATTAGCTTTTGCTTTGTTTTTCTAGTGAGGGATCTTCTTATTTTATGTGCTGTTATAATTTATTGTTCTCCTATGGGATGATACTTATCTTTCTTTCTTTTTTTTTTTATATTGTATCTTGTAATATTGAGATAGGAAAAAGGAAGTGCTGAAAGGGAAAGTTTCTTTTGCTTAGGTTTAGGCATTGAAAAGAAATCATCTTCCATAACTTTAGAAAATGTGGATGGGACATAGGGCTTGTTTCACCGCAAAGACTAACTTGGTTAACCTGAGTATCATTAATTTTCTCCTTCAGTGCAGCTAGAGCTTTAATATTTGGGGAAAAGAGGTAATGCATGCATCTTCATATAACAACCCTTCCTTTTTCACCAAGTTTACTGCAAACCTAACAAGAAACTACTGGGGACATGCATAGTCAATTTGCTTCTTAGGCACACATTAGAAAAAAGTATATTACTGGAAATTCATGATATTTGCATCTCTCCTGCAGTCTTTCTAAGGTAGCAGCAACTTAAAGTGAAGAAGCATGTCCTGGCCCAATTGTTTTACGTTCCATGCATGGATCATTTTTAAGTATATATAAGGCCATAGCTGAAAGTAATAAACCTAAAACTGTTTAGGCTATCAGTTCATGATCATGTTCAAGGTCATTGCTAATGTTTTGGTTTTCATCCCACATCTTTTGATCTGATAAAGATTGCGTTTATTGCCCCTCATGAGCAATGATTTTTAATGCCTAGTTTTCTCCTTTTAATGCTTTGCTACTGTTCTTCAGAATGCTTTCAGTTTTGAGAAAAGGAATTGGATGAGTATTTGTCAAGATGAATTACCTGCTGGATCAAATCTTGTAAGTTGCGAAATAGGTGGCTTTCTGTGACTTTGTCTATGTTGTAGAGTTATATTTGAAGATCCTCACTATTCATCGTGAACAGATCATGGGGCTGAATCCTCCTTTTGGCGTCCATGCATCTCTGGCTAATACGTTCATTTCAAAAGCTCTGACATTCAGTCCAAAGCTCATGATTCTCATTGTTCCTAAAGAAACTAAAAGGTAAAATTTGTACTTAAAGAAGCTATAAGATAAACTTTGTACTTCAGAAATTCCAGAAAGTATGATTTACCTGCTCATTATTATTGTTATTATTTTCCTTCTGGCAACTACAGACTTGACAGGGGAAAGTTGCCATATGATTTGATTTGGGAAGATGACAAATTACTTTCTGGGAAGGTAAGAAAATTAGCAATTAGCATCTTCTCGCTCTCCCCTTCACTGCCTGCCAACCCCCATACATTGATCTAATTTGAGGATGAAGTAAATCACTTACTCAAATAATTTTTTATCAGTCCTTTTATCTGCCTGGGTCAGTGGATGTGCTTGCTCAGCAAATGGAGCAGTGGAACGCGGAGACACCACCATTATATTTATGGAGTCGCCCTGATTGGACTGTCAAGCACAAAGCAATAGCTCGAGAGCATGGCCATATTAGCATGGAACTAGATGTTGGCCGTATCAGGGAAATCAATGTTGAACCTTCTGTTTCGAATTATCTAATGGAAGATAAGCATGACTGTTACCATGATTTTTCTAGTGTCATGAAAGGCTACAGTGACATTACCAGTATGCTGGATGATTTGCCTGATGAATTTGATGGGACTCAACCTAATCAGCTCAGGGACACTCGTGCTGAGATGCAGTTTGATCGCCAGCTGAAGAACAGATGTCCTGATGCTGAAGATCATAGTGTCGACATGGATTGGGAAATTGTGTAGGCTCTGTTAAAACTGCTCGCCATGATTGGACAAATGGGTGTTCCAAGTGCAGTTTTCTGCTGTGTCCGCGAAAGTTCAAAAGCAATGTTAACAATTACTCAATTCTACTGTTTCCAACTTGAATGAGCTTCAAAGCCTGTTAAAGTGTTGACAACTTCTATTTGCCTTGGAATGTTTCGGTCGGTAACTTTCTACCAAAATTGTATGACTTAAAAATGTATAATCCATTACCTTGGGTAAACTGTTCATCTTCGATGAATTATCTTGCGTTACTGAATGTGTTCTTTTTCCTATTTTCTAGTTTCTTTTCTTTTTTGAACTTGTGACAAACATTTTATGTGCAACCTGAGCGTCATAAACTAAAAGCAGGAACCCAAAATTCAGGAATCAGTAGTTAAGAAAGAATAATATTTTTTTCCCGTACCGTTAGTCTCATGCGTCATCTTCTCTTAAAGTTTTGTGAGGTCACGCTTTTTGCCTGTGGAGAGCCCTGGTATTGTCACTTTTTTGTTTCTTTTTTTTTTGTGATTATTATTAATGTATAATACATTTTAGTTAGGAGCGTGGTAATTTTTTTATGGTCTGTTTTTTATTTTTAAATTGATTTTATTTTAGTGAGAATAGGATTTGATAAGGTTAATGATGCATCTATTTTAGCAATTTGAGATTACATTACAGCGATCAAATAAATTATTACTTTGTTGGATTAATGGTTGTAGGGCTATAAATATGTCGTGTTGTGTCATTTTCTTGTTCATGTCAAAATATATATATAAACTCATAAATTCCACATTTAAATTTTATGTCATGGTCTTGTCATATTCTATTTGTTTGGTAATATGTCAGTATCGTGTCTTAACTCGTTTTGCTCATTTAATTTTGGATTATCTTTTTATATACTGATAATGTAGTAATTTTTTTCTACACTGCTAGTTATAAATTAACTTTTTAAGTGAAAATTAGTAATGAAACACCACAAAATTTCGAGAACGTAGAGCATAAGCATATAAAAAGGAAACAAAGTGGATTAACAAGTAATAGTCCAAAACAATAAACTATTAAAATATTATAAAATAACAATCATTTTGTATTCCAAAAGCCATAGAGCAGACTAATCTTCATCAGCCAAGAGAATGTAAATTGGTGAATGTCCCAATCTGCCAAGAGAATGTAAATTGATGAATGAAGTATCATACCATGACTGGTTAGTACCCAAGCTTTATCCTTTTAGCTAGCAAGTTAGTTTTGAGTCTTTTGAATTTTGACGGGTGGTAAATTTTGACAAATCTGCCATGTTTTTTACTAGAAATACTCCCATGATGCTTAGAGGGGAAATTAGTGAGGTGTTGGACAATATGAGGGAAGCTCATGGTGGTAAATATCTAGGTCTTCCGATGACCATTGGGAGAGCTAAAACCCAGGTTTTTGGGTATTTGATGAGTAACATTAGTAGTAAACTTCAAGGATGGAAACAAAAGTTGCTTAGCCAAGGGGGTAAAGAGGTTTTGATCAAATCAGTCATTATGGTTATGCCTACATACATTATGTCCTGCTTTAAAATACCCAAAGGTTTGTGCAAAGCCATTAGTGCTAGAATCGCTAGGTATTGGTGGGGTGGTGGGGAATCTGAAAAAAAAGTACATTGGATTAGGTGGAGTAAACTTTCAGAGGTCAAAGGGAAAGGGGGGATGGGTTTTAGAGACCTGGAAGCCTCCAATATGGCCCTGCTTGCAAAACAAATTTAGAGAATTGTTATCAATCCAAATTTGTTAGTAAGCAAAGTCCTGAAGGCTAAGTATATGAAAGAGGATGACTGGTTAGGACAATAACCACCTAACAATGCTTCTTGGTGTTGGAAAAGCATGCATAAGGAAGGAGAACTACTTCAACAGGGGCTATGGAAGAAAGTGGGAAATGGAAGGTCAGTGAAAATTTGGCATGATAGATGGATACCTGGCTTGGTTGATGGAAGAGTAACAACGGTCAAACCAATAGGATGTCAACTCGAGTTTGTCCACGAGCAAATAGAGGGAGGAAAGTGGAAGAATGATCTCTTGAAGCACTGGTTTAAAGTTGTTGATGTGGATCACATTACTAATATCCCCCTTAGTTTATATGATAGAAAAGACAGATTCTTTTGGAATTATAGCAAGTTTGGGATTTACACTGTGAAGACTGGATATGTTGTTGCAAAGGAACAAAGTGAAATGACGAATCGAAGACTTGCATCTGATCCGGAAACCAGCTGGGAAATTAGAAAGCACACAGTATGGAAAAGATTGTGTTGACCTTGGTCGATCAATCCTTGGTTTTGATGATTAACAAACCAAAATGTAGATTTGGTCTAATGTTTTTATGTGAGAAATTTGTTAGAATCAGGTTCAATGGTATCAAGGAAAGAAAACCAACCAAATGAAGAAGCAAAATCAGGTCACTCATGTCGGACGGCCAAAAGGAAACTATCGAACGTCCGAAAGGATGAAAAACATCCAGAAGGAATCTCTGTCGGACACTCGTATGGAAGCATCGGACGTCCGGAAGGATCGGACGCATGCTTCGGACGCACATCTATCTCATCGGACGTCCTAAAAATTTCACAAAATATTGTTGACTCACTGACTATGTTCAGACGCAGAGCTGTCGGACGATAATATCCCATCGGACGTCCGAACGACAACCTGGCTGACTTTCGGACGATGGGTTCGGACGATAATTATGCGGTCGGACGTCCGACAGGCCAACGGCTAGTTTTGACAGCATTTAATATTTGACCGTTTGAGAGCCTTTTGGAGCCATTTCTCACCTTCTATAAAGACCCCAAAGCACAAGAAGACAGGAGACTTTTGCCAACACAAAATACAAGCTTACAAGTGAGATTTTTGAGTAGAAAGATTCTTTGTTGGTTGTATAAGGGGTTGGGGAAGTTGGGTTGTGAGGTTGCTCAAGTGAAGGTTACTCTCTAGGAGGAGTAAAACCTTGGTGAAGGTGAACCTATCACTTGAAGAGGTAAAACCTTGGTGAAGGTTGCCTCATTTGTATAAAATAGTTCTTAATTGGGTGAGTGATCTTTCAAGTGTAGGTTGTTGAGGGTTAACTAGAATAGTTGTAAAACTCCTTGGCTCAACCAAAGAGAGTTTGGCGTGAGGAAGGAATGAGCCTTCACTTGTACATCTTGGTTAGCATCGCCATCTATTGAAGAGGCTATTGGATTGATATTTGGTTTACATTTCTTATCTTTTTTCTTTAATTAAGTTTTCTTTATTGTGCTTAAATTTGATATATCTTTGTGCATCATTGTGATATTGTTTGTATTCATTGGGTTGCACCAGGCCTTACAATTGGTATCAGAGCTTGGTTTCTTTTGATCAAGATTAACCGCTTAGAGTAAAGATCATGGCAACCATAAAAGTTTCTTTTTTAGAATGTCAATCTATTGATAGACCACCTATGTTTAATGGTTCTCATTTTAGCATGTGGAAACAAAGAATGATGATTTTCTTACAATCCGTTTATATTGAATTATGGTATGTGGTAGAAGATGGTTCTTATGAAACTAGAATAGTTGACTCTACTACCAATTTGAGTAGATTAAAGACTAGACAAGAATTGAATGAAAAAGATAAGAGATACCTTTCTTTGAATGCCAAGGCCATGTGTATATTGTACAATGCATTAGATGTAAATGAATCTAGTAGGATTAAAGGTTGTAAATCAGTTAAAGATATTTGGGATAAATTGTGTGTATTTCATGAAGGTAACCAAGATATTAAAGAACAAAAGAAATCTTTGCTTGTTTCTCAATATGAATTTTTCAAAATGCATCCTCTTGAAAATGTTGATAAGATGTGTAGTAGATTTTGTGACATTATTGAAAATCTTAAATTGCTTGGAAAAGAATATTCTTTGGGTGAGAAAAATAGAAAGATTTTGAATGTCTTGCCAAAAGAATGGGAAAACAAAATAAATGCTATAGAAGAGGCAAAGGATTTAAATTCTATGTCCATTGAATCTCTTGTGAATTTTCTAACCTTTTATGAATTAAAGCTGAAATTCAAAGTGCAAGAGGAAGAAAATGCAAGAATGTATAAGAGAGGCATAGCTTTTAAAGCATCTCAAGTGGGGGATAACCCATCCTTCATGGGTAATGAAATCATGGAAGTGGACAATGATATAACTCCTCACATCAAAAGTTTCAAGAGATGTTCAAGAGGAGATTGCAAAATTACATGGGATGAATGCAATTCAAAAAGAGAAAAAGAAGAGTTGGCCCAAATGGCACTAATGGCCGTTGGAGAAGATGAGGTAAGTTCTTATCACTCTTCTTGTGATGAAGATAATGAAGATGATGATGTGAAAATTCTTATAATTAAAATGCATAAAAATTTGAGAAAATCTTATGCTAAAAATAAAGATTTGAAAACAAAAATAAATGATTTGTTGGAAAAAAATGCCAAACTGTTTCAAGAAAACAAATGTTTGAGAATGGAAAATGATGATTTAAAAAATCAAAAAAGTTTTTTTGATTGCAAAAATAATTTGAAAAAGAAGTTGGAAGAGAAAACAAAGTTTTATGAAAAAATATTGGAGGAACAAAGTTTGTTAAAGAAAAGAATTAATGACTTGAACGAGTTTCTCCAAAATGAAAAATAAAAGTTTTCTCAAACAAAAGAAAGAAAATCTTTTCAAGGCACAAATAATTTTGCTATGATAAGAGGTAAGAAAATTAGTTGTATTAAATCCACCTATGTGCAAAATACTTCTATCATGTGTCACTTTTGTTGCAAATTTGGACATATGCAAAATGATTGCTATGTAAAGAAAAATATGAGAAAAGGCATGAAATTCATGTGGATTGCTAGATCATATTGTATTAACTCCCAAGGACCCTATAAAGAAAGGGTACCAAATGAAATTTCTCATATTTAGGTACATCATGAAGATTTGATCCAAGAAGTGCTAAATGGTTGTAAGTACATTTGAAAATTTTGATATTCAATATGGTCTTGATTTGAAAAATAAAGGGGGAGTTTGTTTTTTTGATTGATGCCAAAAGGGGGAGTAGGATTTATTGAAATTTCTTTGTATGTTGGCACTTTCTAAAGGGGAGATTTATTTGAAATTATTTGATAAAATAATTTTCATTTTGTTTGTCATCATCAAAAAGGGGAGATTGTTGACCTTGGTCGATCAATCCTTGGTTTTGATGATTAACAAACCTAAATGTAGATTTGGGCTAATGTTTTTATGTGAGCAATTTGTTAGAACAGATTCTTGTGGCACAAAAGAAGAAGCAAAAACAGGGCACTCATGTCAGACGTCCAAAAGGAAACTATCGGACATCCGAAAGGATGAAGAACATCAAGAAGGAAACTCTGTCGGACGCTCGTGAGGAAGCATCGGACGTCCGGAAGGATCGGACGCACGCCTCGGACGCATATCGATCGCATCGGACGTACGAGAAATTTCGCAAAGATTTGATGACTCTCTGATGACGTTCGGACGCAGGGTTCGGACGTCCGACAGGTGGTTCGGACGTCCGACAGGCCAACGGCTAGTTTTGACAGCATTTAATATTTGACCGTTGCAGAGCCTTTTGGAGCCATTTCTCACCTTCTATAAACACCCCAAAGCACAAGAAGACAAGGGACTTTTGCCAACACAAAATACAAGCTTACAAGTGAGATTTTTGAGTAGAAAGATTCTTTGTTGGTTGTATAAGGGGTTGGGAAAGTTGGGTTGTGAGGTTGCTCAAGTGAAGGTTACTCTCTAGGAGGAGTAAAACCTTGGTGAAGGAGAACCTATCACTTGAAGTGGTAAAACCTTGGTGAAGGTTGCCTCATTTGTATAAAATAGTTCTTAATTGGGTGAGTGATCTTTCAAGTGTAGGTTGTTGAGGGTTAACTAGAATAGTTGTAAAACTCCTTGGCTCAACCAAAGAGAGTTTGGCGTGAGGAAGGAATGAGCCTTCACTTGTACATCTTGGTTAGCATCGCCATCTATTGAAAAGGCTATTGGATTGATATTTGGTTTGCATTTCTTATCTTTTTTCTTTAATTAAGTTTTCTTTATTGTGCTTAAATTTGATATATTTTTGTGCATCATTGTGATATTGTTTGTACTCATTGGGTTGCACCAGGCCTTACAGATTGTGGAGCCTAAACGTTAAGATGAAACTGAAACATTTCTTATGGAGATGTCTGTAAAATGGAATGGCCACAAATGAAGCTCTCTACAAGAGATTTGGAATCAGTAACAAGATATGTCACTGTTGTGGGGAGGAAACGGAAACCATTGAGCACATTTTCTTCTTCTGCCCAAAAGCTAAAGTGATATGGAAGTTAGCTCCTGTAAGGTAGGAGGGCTTAGTTGCACTACAAGATAACTTGTGGAGATGGTGGGAAGCTGTGATGCAATCAGCAAAGAAGACACAAGGAGCAGATAGAATTAGGCTTACGGTGAACCTCTTATGGCAAATCTGGAAAGTTAGAAACAAGTTAACATTCCAGAGTGAGTTAGTGGATGCAAAAGCAATAATAGACAAGGCACAGCAGGAATGGATCGAGTATGAGGCAGCGTATGAATCAGGCACGAGCAAATTCATGTCTAGAAATGGAAAGACAGGTCTAGCAATGATGGGAGCCTCTCAAGGAAGGAACAAATGATGATCAACACGGACGCAGCAATTTCAGCTAAAATGGTCAAATCAGGATTGGGGATCGTTGCAAGGAACTGGTGCGGGGCGATAGTGAAAGCGAAGGGAATTACTGAGAGGAGGAAAGGAGAAGCAGCCACAGAGGAAACTCTAGCAATCAGAGGTGCGCTGGAAATGGCTCAAGGTGTAGGATGGACAAACATAGAAGTCCAATCTGACTGCAAGTATGTTGTGAGCCTCATCAATACGGACAATGTTCAGGAATATAGACTCCAAACACTCCTGGATGACATTGATCTCCTAAAGAAAAGATTTGAAAGTTGCACTTTCTCTTTTGTTCCCAGAACTGCTAATAGTTGTGGGCATGAATTGGCTCAATTCGCAATCAAGGCAACTAGAAGTTTCGAATGGGATGGTACATTCCCAACTTGGCTTTCAGCTTTAGCTAGGAAAGATATGGGGGTAGTTACCCCTTTTTGTAATTAGCCCTTGTACTATCAAGTGTTAATATCTATAAAAATATCATCGTTTGTCAAAAAAAAAAAGAATTTTGACTTTGAAGCGGTTTATTTATTTCTTTTAAAGATATTTTGGCGCCAATACTCTCTTATTGCTTATTAGCCTTTAGGAGGGAAATAATATTTATCACGAAAAAATAAAACAAAAAAAGAGAGAAGTAACTATTTTTAGTCTTGACATTAAATTGATAGGTAGAGCTGTTAAGTCAATTGCGTAACTCAAAAGCTCGTTAGAGCTCGGCTCGTTAATTTTGGTTAACGAGTCGAGCTCGAACTCGAAACATGCTCGTTTAGTTAACGAGCTCGGCTCGTTTGATATTCGAGTAGCTCGTTAGAACTCGTTAATAAATGGCATATTTGTCATTTTATAAATCAAAATTATAAAAATTAAAAATTATAGGTTTTTATTAAGGTTAATTTGCACAAGCTCGAGCTCGAGCTCGAGTTTCACATGTACATTTAACGAGCCAAGTTCGAACACATTTTAAAGCTCGTTTTCCTAACGAGCTCGAGTCGAGCTCAACTCGAATTAAACTCGAATCGAGCTCGACAGCCAAATACTCGACTCGATTAACAGCTCTATTGGTAGGAATCCAAAAGAAATTTGGTAATTAAATATAAGATTGAATATTTATTTTTAATTTTTGAAGCCACTAACACAAAATTTTTGTGAAGTAAAATATGCTCTCAAGCTTCTGGGATCATTATTCTAATGTGAATGAAACTCATAACACAACATTATTGAAAACTATTAGGCTTGCTTTTCTTTTATTTTAAGATAACCTTTGAGTGATAACTAGAACCACAAAATGAGTCAAGTGGAGTAGAGTTTTGATCTAATCGAACCAAGTCTCAACTTAGTTTTATCAAGCTCGAAGTCGAGTTTGAGTTAAAAAAATAATTATTTTATTTTTAAAAAATGAATAAAATAATAATTTTTCTTAATAAATAATAAAATATTAGGGATATATATGTAATTTTACTATTAAAATAAAAAATAAAAAATATAATCGAGTCAGCTTGTGAACTAACAAGTTGACTATCTTTGAATTTGAATTCGAGTTCGACTTAGTCAACTCAAGTCGAACTCGAGTCGAACTTTGACTCGAGCCGCTCATTTACTGCCCGAGTAATAACGCCAAAAAAATTCAAAATAATTCATCATCAATATTATTCAAAACAAGACAAAAACAAGAAAGTAACATAGGAAACTATATTTAATTAGTCTAGTTGTCGTTGCAACAAATATTCATTTAGACAAAAGCTTAGTCAAACTATAATTAAGCACGAATAACCATGACAAGCATAAGATGGCATGAAGTTTATGGAATCTTTTGTGAATAAATGGTCGAAATTCCCTAATCACTCATTTAGCTCAAAAGCCCGCATTCGAACAATTTCATCAACATTCAATTGCTTACTTAATCACTAATGCCAGGCATTCTTGAATATCTTGCTAAGAATAAGATATTCAAAATGATAATGCATCGTTCTCAGTGACACAAGAAGCTCCCAAGCCAACAACTAAGCGAGTGTCTCCGACAAGATAGAGCCATAGAGGTATGAAACTGCGACAATAAAGACTTAAAAACCTTCATTTTTATCACAAAAAAATAAAAGAGAAACAAAATCAGAGGCAGAAATCACTAATAAAATAGTTAAGAACCAAAAAAAAAAAAGCACCAATCAGTTTGAAGATGCAGTATGTAGAAAATATTTTGCTGTAATTCACTACACACATAACGTAATTATCTTCTTATCATATATATATATATATCATATTAAATAAGTATTAAATAAATAATACAAAAAATATATACAATGATCTTCAATCAAAATGCAATAAAGAAGCTGAATAAGTCAATGCCAAGTCAATCAGATGTAGATGTGATATGAATTCTGCTGATGAAACGAAATTCGCATTAACAAGCCTCGGATCTTTGATGATTAACACAAGTTTGACAGCGAAATTTCTATATGAGCCCCTCGAATCCCCATAGTTGCAAACGTTGATATGATCTTAACCCATAACCAAATGAAATATTGAACCCAAGGAATGGTAGGTAGGTGCCACAATAAAGGGTGATGTCTTAATTGATTAGCTGAATGAACACCAAGATATTTCTAAGTGTTCAAGGGATGCTCATAGAGTTAAGAGAGCGCTTCTTTCAAGAATATTTTCTGAAAAATATGGCATATGTTATTCATGAAAAGATTGCAACGATGTTTTTAATGTATCTTGACAAAACTCCTAACGAAACAGCGAGTTGGACCTTTAATCGGTCCATAAACCCTACTTAAGGGATGGATTCAAGATGCTAGTCCATGATGCAACAAGCTGGAAAATTCAGTCTTTAATCTCTTTCTTCCAAATGACTTTGAGTAATCCCTGTAGTGAAGAAATAGCTCCATACTTTGAGACCTCATACTCGTATCAGTCCCCTCCTCTTGAAGGTGATTTGCCCTCAAATCATTGGTGCGTTTATAGGACAACAATGTTGAAAATAGATGAATTGTTACGAGCCAAGTTGCATGCTGTTTGGACAACCTCTTGTTGTTCACGAACAGACACTTTCCAAGTCATCAACCATCTCATATAATGCTTGTTAAAGTTCCATTTTGCACTCCTAAGCTCTCGAATCTGCCATTCTACATGGTTTATCAAATCTAGACCTACACAGGAAATCACACAATAAGTATCTGTAGGTATAAAACCACTCGAATAGCAATGCTCCAATGGACTAGCAAAGTCCCAAATCTAGTTGTTCAAAATTGTAAAATTAATCATAGGTTGTTGTTCGTCTGGCACATCTTGCATGGGTAGAGCTAGACAGAGATGGACAATTTTAATTCCTATAAATGAAATAGCAAAATCGGTTTTTCAAGAACCAGAAAATTGACAAAGAAAGAAAGGAACATCATCATCTAAATACTAAGTATAGAACAAGGTTTAAGTGTAGTTACTCCCTTGGAAACATCACTAGGCTTCTCAACAAGCAAATCAGCCCTAGGTAAGAAATTGAGCATTTGTTGCTAACAAAGAGATATAACACTTAAGACACAAACTCCATGAAAACTCTTCAACTTTCCAATGGATGTAAGGATGGAACACTTTAAGATCATGGTAATAACACCTTGCTTAACCTGCACACAAGAAGAAACACTAAACAAAGAAAAGTTTAAATACTTAGTAAAATAATAAGCTCTCTTACTATCATTAGTAAAACAATAAGCTCTCTTATTAACTCCTTTGGATTTTACAATCATGCCCTCATTCTTATGATCATTCAAATTCAACTCTTGTTCTTTCTCTTTCTCACTCAGCTCTTTTGAATGCTCACTCTCTTTTTCTTTCATGCTCTCCTCAAATTTTACCTCACCCCTCACAGTCTCATTTTGCATCTCACACAATATCTCTCCAGCTAACTCTTGACAGGTAGCTAGTTTAGAACTTCAAGCACAGCTTGTTCATGGTCAAAGTTTGGATGTATAACAATGTTATCCTTCTCAACCAATGGTGCGGCAAGGTCCTGAGATGATCCTTGAAGATTGCAGTCAACTAACTTCTTCATTTGCTGTTCTCATTAGGGGTGGGCAAATTTATCTGCTAACCCGAAAACTAGTCATATCCAATTAGAAAATTAGGATACCTGATTTGTATTATTTGATTGAGTCAAAAGAGGTTTGGATACCCGTTTAGATGCGGTGTGAGTTAGGGTCACATAATTAAAAATCCACGGGCACCCTAACCGCCTTGATATATACATTTTATTTTTTTATTTTTATACATATATTATAAAATAATATTTTTAGAGTTAAGTAAGAAATTTCATTGAACAAATTGCATTACAAATATAAGAGACTATAATTTATTTACAAGATTCATTTGTAGAGGTCGTGATCTTTTATTTTATAGAAAAGAATTTAATTAATATGGAACATATAGTTAAAAAAAATTTGCTACTTATTTCAAACTTTTTTATTGATTTTAAATTCTTTTAATTTTTTTTCTTTTTCTTGTATTCTCTTTGCATGTTTGTTTCTTGATGGGAGATTTTTTTGAGAAAAAATCTTTATTAAATCTTAGATAAATGTGTAAAATATAAAATTAAATTAGTATAAAATATTTTTTTTAAAAAAATTAAATGATAATTGGAGTGGGACCGATGCTAGTTGATCCGACCCTATATTACTGGGTATCTTATAATCGAGTACCGACTAAGATACGAGATGCGTAAGGGTCAAAAAATAGCTGACCTACTAGGTGTTGGTCAGGTCAGTCAAATGGTGGACGGGACAGGTACCCAACCGGTACCTACCCCTAGTTGTTGTAGAAGATTTGCTAAGTTTCCCATACTTGATCAAATCTATCTTCAACTACATGCTTAGGTTTGAAAGTTGTCCAATGAACCTCCTCCTTTCTTCTTGAATATGTTAACTTTAAAGAGGTAGATTGTAAGGAACCCTATCTCTTGGCATTCCTTTTCTCTCAAAAATTTCATCTAAAATCTCATCAAATTCTTCCCTCATTGCATCTAAAACTTCATCTAATCTCTTCCAATCTTGGTTAGACATCTTAGAGTGAAACCTGCAAAAAAGAGGAAGTGACAAAAATTTGTCCTCACTTCACTCTCTCACATGTATGCACTCAACACTCGTGTATCACATCGATGTTTAGAGCACTCTAGTAGTCTCACCACAACTTTCTCAAGGCCGTTGTCACCTCCCTTGAATAAATTAGAAGTTCCTTCAAGTGTTCAAGTTAACTCATCGACCAAAGAGCATGTATAATGACCCAAATAGGTGACACGATTCTGTGTAATGGTATCGAACCAAAGGGTAGTTGACTCCAGTAGATTAATGGCGAAGTAATGGAACAGTAACTGAAACTAAGAGCTAATAACTAAGCTCAAAGACTAATATTTCATTAAGTAACCAATCTAGATATAGAGAGGATGGTTACAGTGA